CCACCGAAATTTGACTCAATGTTACGGCTACATTTACTTAATTCACAAGGAATTCCCACTTGAATACTGTCCAGCCAGTGTGAGGATTCCACCTTCTTCTGCTCTGCCTCTGTGGTAGACCAGCTCACCTCCTAACACCAGACCAGAGGACACACTCTGCAGAAAGTGTGCCACTAGGATAACTGCTCGGGAGAAAAGAACTGCTTGAAAAAATAGACAAAATAAATAATAATAATAATAATAATAATAATAATAATAATAATAATACTGTAATAATAATGGCGATGATGACCTGTAAGAGGTGGGAGCCTAATTCCTGGCTGACCCCATCCAGAGAGCTCCGGCTCACATGGCCCCATGACTCACCAAGTCCTGGAAAGAAAATCACATACAAATATTTTTAAAAAGACGATATACTACTACTACTACGACTACTACTACTACTAATACAAACAACAATAAGTTAGAGGATAGCAGAGGAATTAAGCAACACTATGCATCGCATGCAGTGCAATTTTATATATTTGAGATGCTGTCGACTGCGCACCGTAGCCTAATAATGTCATCAGATTAAAATCAGCACATCTTAATCAACCTCGGCTTTTAACACCTATATAGATCGAACGCGTTTCTGTCTTGTGAAACTATTAGCATAAACTATTCAAAACGGAGGAGAAAAAAAAAAGCTTAAGAGTTAAGCTGCATGAGGCTCAATACCCAAAGCGGGGCAAAACAAACACGAGTCCGCGCAGCAGACTGTGGAATTGAAATGCAAATGTGCAGCAGAATAAACAGGCGGCATGTGGGCAACACTGCGCTCCATAATATGGACTTCTCTGTTTGGACTCGGAACACAATCGCATCGCCGCCACCACTCTTTACCAAAGAAATTCTCGTCGAATAAATACTTGAATTGGATTAAGATTCCTATCAGGAACCAAAAAATGAATGTAAAATTGTTCATGCACCGCCTCGGAGGTAGTTTGTTTGGGAGAGAATAAGATTATTTAATTACACGACTTTTTTTTATGTTGTCAACTCGTAAATCGTTTATTCACTTTGAACAACATTAATACTCATTTAGATTTGTTTATGTCAGCTACAGAAAGAAAAAAGATATATTTCAATACTACACGTGTAAACACAATTTTTTAAAAATGTGACGGGACGTCATATTAAAAGAACGAATTATTATTTTTATCTCGTACACTACACAATAAACAAACCAGCAGACTGTAAAAGCATATTTTTCAACTCGGTAATGAACCTTTCCGGATCGATGAGCGGCTCACTTAAATAAATTCATCTTCATCTGTAATTACGTTTTTTTTTTTTCATATTAAGACGTACTGGGGCGTGGGCAAAAAAAAGTGGTACATTTTTATTATTAGTAAGGTGTTAGTGGTGTGTGTGACCGGGCCTATAAGTATTACTAAATTGAAATGCCAGTTTTTAACAGAAGGTGTATTCTGGCAATAATGGCCCAATTTACAAAAGGTCACCTCTAGGAACACTTGAGCAAGTACACAGCATAATCTCAACATAATTGTTGCAAAGTTTATTTTAAGTTTAGGTATTTTCAGTAAACTCCCACGAGAAAGTATTTGTGATTTGAGATGTAATTATACCGAGATGGACATCATAGCGAAGCTCAGCAACATCAATCAAAACAAAAAGAAACAGAACGTTTTAATATGTGCAGCGCGTTACTTTTAGTAACCATGCCCATATTTATTCCTAAACTATAAGGATTTTTTATTTAATCATTGCACTATTTCCTTCTGTTTCTTACACTCCGTAATTGTGTATAGGCCTATCGTAAAGTGTTTGTCAGCATTTTAAAAAATGGTGCCGATGTTTGCTGCAGCTTAATTGCACCGTTTCCCTGCTCTTAGTGCTTCCCATCCAGGTTCTTTGTGAGTGCACCTTACACTAAATGGCGACGATGAGCCTTGTGTGAGGCTCAAGGAGCCCCATATGTTGTAGGATCAGATACGGGCATGATGCTAATATGCGAGGCGCTGCAGCAGTCACGCGTGCAACATGGATCCTCATCACAGGGACTCCAGGAAATCACATCACTCAGTCTCTGAAATTAGTCTAGGTCAAAGGAATTCATGAACGCTATTTATTTCATATTGAATTGAACATTGTGGGCAGCGGAGTGATTCATCACACTTGAAAGGTTCTGGGTTCGAATCTCCACCCGTTTCGCGATCACTTCGGACAGGTTTGTGCAATAGATATATACCATTGACGAGATGTTTTTGTTTTTTTTAATTAGAATGTTATTGTTCGATTGCTATGCTGAGTTCGTTGAACTTAGTTGGAGAGTAAATGTACATATATATATATATATATATAAACAAACTGTGACCTTAGGTTTTGTGTAAAATAGTGATATCCAGGTCAATTCCTTGCATAACTTGCATTTTTTTTTTTTAAGGATACAATTTTGTGGTATAGTTTTTCATTGTGTGTAAAAAATAACGATATCAGTGTTGTGTACAACTGCTGTAAATGGTTAGAGTACATCAAGGTAAAAACATTTGGCTGATTATTTTGGCTGATGTTTCAAGGGCCATAATCAGGTGATTCAATTGGCCGGCTCCTATATAACATGGTTGTCAGCAAGGTTCTTCTACCAAAAGAAGTAGATGTGCCACCTTCTAAGTGGCACTCATTCTGAAGTTCAACCACAGAACGTACATTCCATTGCATTTTTTTTGGGGGGGGGGGTGGCAAGAACAGAGGAATAGCATTTCCATTCATTTCAATGGGGAAAATTGACTTGAAAGACAAGAAAAGTCATGGAAAGAAACAAAAATGCCATTGGTCAAAAATGTTACATTGTCACATCAAAAATGTTACATTACATTACATACAACCCTTACATTGTTACTTTTCCCAAAATTGCAAATAGCTCCTGAAACGTCTCCGGGCGAACAGCACAAAAGAAGCGGAACCAATTGTGTTTCCCCCTTCATCGTGAACGCTTGCCTACTTTTCAGCTGAGCCCCGGCAGGAAATGCCGACAGCGAAAAGGAGATGGGGAGCAAACGTGTGACTCCTTAATTATTTAATCTAAAAAACAAAGTAACTACAACAATTAACAATCATGCTGATGCTGAAGAGGGTATAGTCCGATAGCTTTTGGAAAAATACCATCTCATCGGAACTGGTACCAATACATCCCACTAATCGCAACTGTATTACAATGTGACAATTAAAGGAGTCAGTTCACACTGAACAGGATTCATTTATTTGCTTGACTGCATCCTTCTCCAAACACATTGCTCGGATGAAATGCAAGAGCTTCCCTCACCTTCAGGAAAAACGATCCTCATTTTGAGGTAGCTTGTGGTCAAGCGGATGATTGAGGCTTTATCCAGCTGGGACGTGATGGCCGAGGGCAGCGGCAACAGTTTGGCCAGTTCATAAAATTCGCTATTCTCCTTTTCCCGTCGTGTCCGGGCGGCGTTTTTCGATTTCTCCTTCATGATGTCTCCTTTTCTATTTCTACGCCAAAAAGTCTCGTCGCATTCCCTTGCAGCTGTGACGCCCGTGGACGTGGGAGAAGGTCGGCCTCAGATCCACAGCAGCAGCAGCAGTCAGGAATTCATCACAATTCCCACCGGGTCTTTCGCGGCGAGATTCTGGAGTGGAAGAAGAAAAGTGTGTTCAACCCATTGGATTGCGTGGGATCCGAAAACGAAGTTTGAGGAAGACCCCGTGTCAATGTCGTTGCAATTGATTAAAATTAAGGTAATTCTCTCAGTTTTATTTCTTACCTCGGCCAAATAACGACGAAATTGTTGCTACGCCAGAGTCTGCTGCAGTTGAAACTGGTCAAAATGTCCAAAATTCTGAGCATCCCACGTTCGCTGCCGAGTGAATTAATGTGGCAAAGCGGATGCGTCCAAAGATTCTATCCAGCTCAGCTCCTATTGGACAACAGCGCACATAGCTCCAGTTCTCATTGGCGAAGCGTTGTAATAACGTGTTGCACGATGGACGATGATTCGTTGTCAAACGAGTGTTATTCACCTCTGGCCTCAGCACCTGCTGCCAAGCACGAGTCCCTGCCTGACAAAATAAGCAATGCAAAACGTGTTTAATAGGGCGTTAAAAATAAAGCGCATAAAAACATAAGGGATAAACAATAATCTATGCAGGACTGCGATATCCAACAACAATGAAAGTTGCTTTGTATTTGGTTGGCAAATATTGCCCAAGCACGCGTACGTGACTGACTATGACATTTGTTCCTAAATTCTCGAAATCGTATCAGTGAAGCAATTAAGCCGCTTAATTTATTCTGTTCAAAGAAAGACAAAAATGGCAACAAGGCCATAATGTAACGTAGAAAAAAAGAGACAAACCGCACACCAAATAAATGTACAGGAAGTGCAGATGTTGAGGGAAAATACTTTAAAAAAACCCAAAACAAAACAAACAAACACACAAACAGCATCGCACACTCCATAGCGGATGAAAATGTTATCTTTTATCTGACATACTCCTTTCGGTAGTACGTGTCACAATATTCTAAGGCGAAAATAGGAACACTTAAGCCCGAGCACCATATAAATATTGCACATACGCTATCTACACGTATTCAAGTTTCGAAATGATTGCGGTTTAAAAGGTTAGATCGAACTAATTACGATTAGTGTAGAAACGCACATTAAAACAATCACAAAAAATATTAAATTACAAAAGTTTTTCTTCAGTATATTTATTTTAATAGCAGTTAAAATGGAGCAGGACCATTCCCGGGGGGCGTGATTCAATTAAAGCGCTGCACTTTTGTTTAAACATTTTGCTCTTAGGTTGGCTTAACAACTAGTCACTTTCTGCGCCACGTGACACGTTCACCACAGTGGAGGACGTAACTCTTTTTGCACTTGTGTGTGTGAGTGTGTGTGCGCGCTTGACCGCACTAATAAGATTCATTTTACGGTGAGCAAATCATCCAGAATGCTTAAAAATCACGGCGTGTTTGACGCTGGCGTTAACCTTCGCCTCAAGTTCATATTTACTAGAAATTACATGTCTCTTACTGGAAAGTAGGACAAACAAAACTAGTAAATGAAGATGGACTTGACCCAGATGAACAGCTAGTGATCAAATTGAGCTATCCACAAAAATCCACATTGAATGTAATTTACATTACTATAAGTACAGTACCATATAGTAGTATTTCAAAATATATATCGGCCTGCGTAAATCGGTGTAACTGACGACCATTGAAATACGTGGGGAAAATGTGTGTGTGTGTGAAGGGGCGGGGGTATTTGTAAATTAAAAAACGCAATGTTCCTAAAAAAATGGGGGTTTCGACCCCTTCAAGTCAAAAAATATTGAAAAAAAAATGCCGAACCGCGATTATGTAACATTTTCTAGGAAATATTAAACCAACATGCACGCACACAGACGTACACACACAAATGGAATTACCCCTGCCACAAATTCACTCTGCAAATATAAATATTTGTAATTATCTGTTAGAACATTTTTTTGTCGATTCAGAAAAGTTGACTCAAACAAAACAAAAATGTCCAAAACAAGGAGCCTGCAGTCATGATCATGATCCGGATTTACTCGTATATTCAAACATTTACAGTCGTAAAGTAAATAATGTAAAATGCATTACTAAAGCACATTTTTGTCTTCTAAAGTCAAACAGTATTCCAAGATGTTTTCAGTTTGGGCGATGATTTTCATGATGGGTATTGATTTGCAGAAAAAATGGGAAGCCTTTTCTGGGGGCCCCAAGCATGTTGAGGGCAACGGTAACCACCCCCAGCCTTGGTCAGCATCTCCCCTCCCTGTAATGTAAAAATGCTATTGAGCACAGTTTTCGACCACATTTTTCGTTTAGGGTAATTTGTCATCTGTGGAGCGTTCATGCTTCCATATGGGGGGTGTGGGGGTGGGTGGGTGAGAATAACAGCAACCAAAAGCTCAACCATGACTGGAGACTTACCAACCCGAGGTCTGTACACTGCAAAGTAAAGTTATTATGGAAAATAAAGAAGTACACAGGTGAAAAACCAATTTCTTTTCAAATCATGGCGAAAACAGTTGTTACAGGGCTTTTAAGACTGAGCTAAAGTAGCATATTAAACATTGTGACAAAATCTTAATCCTTTTGTGATCAGCTTCATTGTATATCCACAGAGAGGAGGCCTAGTAGAGCCGAAAAGTGGCCCCCATCCTCACAGAGACTACAAAATGTCACAACAACATCATTGCCTTCCTTTAAGCATCAAAGATATTTTGTGGTATTTAATGCAGATTTCTTCATGTTTGGTCAGGAAAAAAAAAAAATTCACCAAAACGTTCATGATAGAGTGACTGTTTAAGAGAATGTCCTGTGCGAGACTGATGACCATTGTTCGTTTATAAGTGTAATTTATTGAAGAGGCAACAGCAGCAGGGGGATCCTGTAATCTAGTCTGTGACCTCTGTGTTGAACTGGGCACTGATGCTGGCTGGTGTCACATTGAGGTGAATGTCATACTGCTGGTCCAGACCCAAGTAGCTGTCGCTCATCAAGTAGAGTGTGTAGATGCATCTGAAAGCACAAGGCAAATATTTTGTCAGGAGACATCCACACGATGGCCGATTATAAATGCACGACCTTCATGAATGCAGTTTACATTGATTCAGTATTCTCTTGGTTGGAACCACTGAATGGACAACCAAACAAATGTCATCTTTTGGGCTATAAACACCACCAGGATGGATATGAAATGAAACAAAAAGGAGCTGCTTCAACTGACCTGATTTGGATGTAAACAACCTCAAATTAAAGCTGAAAGTCTGCAGCAAAAGCACATTTAGTTTGTTTCATTTCAAATCCATTGTGGTGGTGTTTAGTATGGACCTGACTGTACTTTATGGTCGTTGGCATGGACCATTTACCAGTTTGACGGTTTACCGTGGTTATAAAAAGTCAAGGTTTCAAAATCCGCTAAGGTTGTCTGTCACCGGTGATGTTTTTTTTTTTTTTTGAGGGGACTTGTAACAGATGCGCTATGATTGGCTGTTTGCAATGATCAGTTAATGAAAAGAGGTTAGCCGCTTTTTTCCCCCCTCCATGGCTGAGCCAAGAGGGGAGAGGTGAGCAGTTTCAGGGAGACGGAGGGAGGGGAAGGATGGAGGGAGACAACAGAGAGCCCCCGCGTTATCCCTACCATACTTCCACTGATGCCTTTTTGGGTATGTTGATTAATGTGTATCGCGCCCCCCCCCTCCAAAAAAAAAAAAAAAAAAAAAAACAGGTACTAGTTAGCCTGCAAGAATAGCCTGTTCTAAAAATAGCACATCAATGATGGGACACTGTGACTTTCTAAGAAGAATTAAAACAGAAGAAGACTGTTGATATATATGCATGTACGTAAATTTGACATGGTACATGTTTCTTAATGTCCCAAATCTTCAATGTTTTCTTTAAAAATAAAATAGTCTCTATTCAATAGAGAAAATGTTTTAAATTTAGCCAAAATGTTCAAAAAATGACATTTTGGAGCTATAATTTTAATATTGCGATATTTTTGATCACGGTTATAACACCGTCAGGATTTAATATCGGCCCATACCTCTATAATAGCAATGTTACTGAAACCATTTCCTGTTCATTTAATATAGACCCTATGATGACAGCTTGAACAACCTATTGAACAACTTTAACATTACGCCCTACTGCATACACCAATTTCTCCAATTTGAAGTCATCAAACTCACATCTTAGTTAGTTTACCACGAGATGTTGAGTTCAGGAAGGATTTTAATCATGTTATCAGGATAGGCCCTTACTTTCCAGTCTTCTCTGGTGTGTAGAAGGCCACGGACACTGTTGTGTGGTTGCGCACGTATCCAACTCGTTTGACTGCCAGCAGCGTTTTGTGATCCACTTCCCCAACGACAAGGAACCAGCCTTCATCTTTCACCTTGGGAAATCTTGGAGCCTGAGCCTTACTGTCCTGTTTCCTCTGTTGAAAATATAAACAAAGCTTGGCGCATTAGGCGTCATGTTTCTTCCGGGCTGTGCTAGTAACATAACAATGCCACACAACGTGCGCAGTGATGTCATTTGTCCCGAGTGGAATTGATAAGGGACTCGTCGACACAAAAGGCAAACCATATGAATGAATTGAAGCTCTCGGAACCGGTTCTCAACAAGAACCGGTTTTTGATTCCCATCCTGAGTAAAGCGTTGTGGAGAGTTTCTGTACTAATTATATGATGAAATATTCAAATGAAATTTTATAAGTTTAACTTTTAGACAGAGTGTATTTTATGTTCATACTGAATTTCACCTCAAAGCCATAGAACCCTTTATTACTGTTAGCAATTTAGATACATATACAGCCCTATGGATATTTGGTCAAATATCCCTGAGCAAGTTTCACTTTCATCAAATGCAACCAAGGTTCTGGCTCGATATTTCACCTTATTCATTTAAATACTTTGCAGTTTGTTTTCCTAGCACAGGTCCACTTTTTAAAGCAGAGTCCACAATTGGTTTACAGGGTTGAAAAATAAAATTCATTGTAGCCAGTGTTATGCATTCCCAAATTAGTTTTTACAGTTTGTGTTTGGGCATCGGATCATTTTGTTGGAACACCAAACTGTGCCAAAGTGTCAACTGATTTGAGGTGAAGTTGAAGAATTCTGAGGTCATCCTCCTCTAACGTTATGAAGGTCAGGCCCAACACAGGATCAAGCCTGCCATGAAGAAGAACTGCTGGTAATCGAGCGCCTCTGATGATAGTGAAGCAAGGTTTACAATGTCATAGAGTAAGAAGATGCTGACCAGGAAAGAAGTCCTTGCTCTGAAATCGACACCTTCAAGCGTTGCTGAAATTTGCAGCTGCTCGCATGGAGAAACCAAATGCCTTCTAGAGAAAGGGTTTTTTGGTCAGACAGGACAGAGCATAAACTATTCTGCCACAACGCCAAGATGTATACTTAGATGAGTCGAGGCGAAGTTTTAAACCGAAGGACAGTATCGCTGCAGCATTGCGGTAGTAACGTCATGCTCTGGCTCTGCCCGTGGGAATGGTGCTAACAGCTTGGCGGCTGACACGTGGCAGGGCTGGATGATTATGGAAAAAACAATCACGATTAGTTTGATCGAATTGCAAATATTTTAACGATTATTCATAGATTTCAAAATGTTTTATTCATTCAACTACAGTACAGTAAACAACTCAAACCTGTCAACATAGCCTCATGCCCATTCATCCTTGCACGGTGAACACTATCCTTTTTTGTCAAGTAGGAAATGACCTTGCATGTAGGTGAAATTCATGTCAAATTGATGTCTTGCACCTTAGCATGACCATTTTCTCTTGGTCACATTTATTTTATCTTATGTCACAAGTCTTGGGACTTACTGGGCTAACCTGGGATCTTAGGCTGTTGTATTGCATGTGGAAACGTGTGTCTATGTCATATAGCAGTCCAAGCAACGGACAGTTTGGGTTGATAGAGTGTAAGGTTAAAATATCCACTCAGCCATACTGACCCTCTGCTGGCCCTGGTTGATGCGTTTCAGTGAGACTTGCAAAACATACTCCTGGTCAGCATGGACATCCAACCAGCTGCTGGCATCCCTCAGGTTTGCTCCTGCAGCAGGCACGTGGCGCTCTGTTTGTTGCTGGCTCTTCTCCCACCAGCCCTTGACACTCAATGCGACCTCCAGCACTGGAAGATGACTGAGGAAGGTCCACATCTGACCCAAGGGGGGAAAAAAAAGGTCAGGATAGCAGCGCTGATTTGTCTAAACTAGGGGTGCTGCCATCACTTCAGAAGTGTGCCGCCTTTTGGAGCACCTCCTCTTCATCACGATGATGACCGGAAAATAACCAACTGTCAAAACGTAGTGGAAGTAAAAAATCATGACAATGACAGCGAAGCATTAGCTTCCCATTTTGCAATTAAAAAAAACAAACAATTTATGTCAAACTAATGCAACAGCTCAGAAAATCAACTCCATTCACATTATTTAATTAAAACTTGAGTAATTCAAATAAACAACGCTCATGAACATGCCTCCTACGTGTTAATGGAGAATTAAGTCCAAAGCTCAACACGCAGTAGAAAGAAAGATGTATACGTGCAGATGTGTGTTATGGGAGCTTGGGGGAGAAACCCTTTCCCATTCACCAGGCAAAGACTATTTATGTGAGGATTACTCTCTCTGCGCAAAGCTGACAGGAACACTGCTGCACATCTAATTATTTAATTAGCGAGGCCACAATACTGCAGGAGGGCAGGGGCCGATGAGGGGAGTAAAGGTGGGGAAGGATGAAAGCAGGCCTACTGATTGGGTGAAGGAGCCGAGCCTGCCGTTGCGCCCGGTCGCTCTCATTACTGTGGCAATTAGCACTTAGATTGGAGCAGTAAACCCTATCAGTGGCGCTGTAATTGGAGATCCTGGAGGGACCTGGGATCACAAT